TATATCGTTAAAGTACGACCGCTTCCGGTGACGTAATGATCTTGCCCAAACTTGTTCATGTCCTCAGCATTTATCCTCTCTCCAGTATGAAAGATAATTCAAAATTGATTCAAATTCATTATCCTCGGTGTTTTCACGAAGATCCATCAGCGAATAAACAAACGTTGAATCAGGACTTTTCTCTAAACTGTCGAAGTGCTCACGAACATCTTTATGATACTGTAACTTCATCACTCTAATAGCTTCAAGAAACTCCCTCCAAACCATACACTTAACAATCACTCGCTCCATGGCTTCCAAACCATACGATTGCCATCTCTCTTGTTCTGATAACATGAGACAGTCATGCTGGCGTTGACTCGGATGGTCGTACTCACAACCGCAACATCTCTCTTTAGTAAGTTTACCAACTTCGCAAGCAACAGCCTCTGCATATATAGTCTCTAACAAACTATGCATGAACACTGTTGGCCCAGTTCGATTGCTCAAAATTTTGTGAAAAATTCATCTTCAAAGGCTTAGGATGCAGTGAATAAACGAGCAGTCTCTTTTATAGACAAGTGCAATACAATTACGTAATGCTTACTAAAACTGGACGTACACTAAGTACGAACGCTTGGACGAACGCTTGGCCGCACGCTAAGTACGAACGCCCGGACGTACACCCCCTGTTGACGTCATTCGCTTGAATCACGTCCGGTGCTATATGGGGGGGGTTACCTACTGGGGACACACTCAAAGTGAAGAAAGACGTATTTATCTGAGTGACGCAAAGGCATCTTGCGCTGTTAGATTTTCAAAATCATGTCGGGTATACAATCTTATGCGATGAGCGTATGAGCACATGCTCATAGTTGCTCACGAGCACATGCTCATATGCTCATCCTGCATAACGTGTGAGCACCTTCTCATAACTGCTCATGAGCACATGCTCATCTGCTCATAAGACCCGTTTAGGTCCGAAGACTGGGTTGCCAAAGCTACAGCGTTCAGGTTGACTACATGCACAATTAATACATGGATTAACACAATAGGTCCTGTACGTACAAAATTGTTCGTGCAAGGAGAGTCATCGTAAAACGTATGCGGAATATTTGAAGAATAAACTTTCTGATGATTAATCATTGTACTCATGCTAGTAGAAAGTTGAAGAAGAAACATTTAAATTGTCGTAATACTATGTGAACTTGAATAAAACAAACTGCTGTCCTCTATTTTCTCGGGAATTATACCTCATTATTATTCGAAGCTCGCATAAGTATCGTAAGGGCATAATATACACACATTTACACATTAAATTTAAGCATTATTAAAGTACGAACGCTCGGACGTACACTAAGTACGAACGCTAAGTACGAACGCTTGGACACACGCTAAGTACGAACGCTCGGACGTACGCTAAGTACGAACGCTCGGACGTACACCCCCTGTTGACGTCATTCGCTTGAATCACTTCCGTCGCTGGATGGGGGGGGGGATTACCTACTTGTTGGCTAGTGAGCTTAAATCGTGGCTTTGAACTGCTTGTCTCTTACGGAGACTGAGGAATATATACAAATAAAAGGGAGGGGGTAAATATTAGTGTATAATCTAGATCTTGGACGGTCTGTGCCAGTGTAGGTATAGTGCCAGAAAGCTGCGGGATTGATAAGGATACAACAACGTGAAAATTACAAGTAGTTGTAACAAAATACAGGTAGTTCTATCCCTATTAATCCACAGCTTTCTTATAAATGCTAGTGTGGGTATTTACTTTACTATTCGTGCAATACTATACATCAAATTATTATAACCACAGTGTTCATTCAAATTGTGTCATGTCACAAATCTCCCAGTTGACTGGATCATACAGGTCTATCAAGAAGGGGTATTGGATAGATCAGGACAGTTTCTTCCTCTTCAATTTAGAGTGGTGTATCCAAACTAAACTTTCAGCAGTCTGCATGCACAGAACGTGTTCTTGACATGTGGTTGACTATATATATAGTTGACTATATATTGTTGACTATAATATAAGCCTATATATGATCACATGGCAATAATACTGATTGTCTTGATTTCTGAAGATATCCAGAGTCTTCATCCGGGATCAAATGCTTTGCATTAATGAGTACACATGAACGCTGTAACCCACCCTTCTCCCGACACTCACCTTCTGAGATCTACCCTCTCCATTGCGCTCCAGATTGTATTGAGTGCATTTTCTTGCCCTTATAGCTCAAGCGGGCGTTGCCTCAGCGAGACTAGTTTTATTATACTAAAACATCTATTGTACTTCTAAAATATTTTACTCTACACCAATTATATATCAATATACTGTATATACGAGCTGCATCTTATCACTACTCCAGCTATAGTTTGTATAACAAAAATAACAAATATTTGTCTTAAAAGTGAAAAGAAAGTTTGAAGCAAGAATATTTTTCTCTCGTCGAGTTACAACAAAAATGTTCCAAGTAGCATTACCAACATCAAAAAGAAATTGAATGTAACACTCACATCACCAGACTTGCAGGAATCTATTAAGAAATTTAGTTGAAAATTTAAGCTAAATCTATCACTCGTTCCCAGATTTTCTTCCAGCTTCCAGAAAACTCTGGGGAGTTGAGAAAATTGGAAGAGATCCATCCGGTTCCCTAGAGATGCTAATCATGACCATTGCTGATAAATATCTCAAGAATGTTTTTTGTTACTCACTACTGTATGAAAATTATTGACCAGTTTACACATCCTTCAACTTACCAACTTCACTGAGATCCAGAACAGTTTTAATGACAGCGTTTATTGATCTTCGTAAGAACTCCAGATTGTGTTCCTTAGCATGACTGAGATCATCACATTCTTTATGATAACATCGCTGCATGTAACCTCTGAAGTTTGCTGTATCAGTCAACATCAAGGCACTGTACGAAGCATTTGTGTCCCAGAATGAGTAGTGATCACTGCGATAAAGATGTATATAGTTTCTGTAATCAGGATTTAAACGTGGTCGTCCTTTGATAGGAGCCTCAATTAACTGCACACGATAATCTGAATCTGTATAAATGATAGTTATAGGAGTGTTACGGCGAAATATCTGGAATCCATATTGTAGGACGAATACTGTATGCCAGATAAATCATGAACAAAGTATTAAGTGGATAACAAGCTACCAAAAACTTGCAAGTAATAGAGCACAACCTTACATACAGTGTGTCTAAAAAAAAAATACCCCTACTAAATTTTGTGGTATTACAAAATTTAATGTAAGATTTGGTTTTTATACTAGGGCGAGACTTTTTTTATTTATTGGTTTCGGATTTGACTTAAAAAACCAGGTCGGTAGGTCGGAAATTTTTTAAAAATGTTGTTTTTCAAGATTGTCACAACGATAACATGAGCCAGCAGTACTTAGAGCCAAAGTTTACTTGGCGTGTACTTCATGTCAGAATCCCAAATTAACTAAAATTAACTAAAATCGTAAAATTGTTAACATATTATGTCAATCAATTGACATTTGAGTGATCAAAATAGCCCGCCATTTGCCTTCTATATTATCAGTGAAGCTAGCGACACCAATATTCTGACTTGTTCAAATTATGGAAATTAGGCTTTTTAAAAATAACATGTACAGTGTTCTCTAGCACAAGATTTCAGTTAATGTAAAAATTAACTAAATGAGGCTGAAAAGACTGGGGTAGGTTGTATAAATTATCTCTTAACTACTTTTTAGCCACGATTTTGTAGTTAAGTACTATAGTTAACTCTAAAATGCGCAATTTCGCACCAATCAAAATCCTTAACTATCTTTTTTATACAAAAGACCCCTGGCCATGCAAGGAAAATAAAATGCTTTATTTGAAAGGAGTTTTGGGACAAACGGGTGGAAAAACAACAAAAATTAGGGCATTTATGCCTACCTGCCATTTTACAAAAAAACGAAATCTTGATGATAGAGACTAGAGGTGTGCATCGGATTGTATTAAACGTTTATAATCCGACAATTGTTTAATTTCTCATTCAAGTTGAAATATTTAACCAAATAAATATAAAAGCAAGAAATACATGTCAAGAAGCTGACAAAGTGACATCCAATTGAAGTATCAAACGAATAATACAGCGACAACCGCGATAATGCTTTGATAAATGCATGGATAATTAATTCTTGCGATGATGCGTGGATAATTAAGAGGAGATTTTTTAAAAAGTCGCGTATTTTTTCCGAAAAGCGATCAAAGCTTAGCGGCCAGGCCTTCGCGAAAAAATAATGGGCCGCCATCTTGGTTTTAAAAGTTTCCCAAAATTTGCGAAGACAAATAACAGAATTTTACTGAATTTTTGTCTATGTTA